GAGATAGCATAGAATTTCCATATCTTTCATGGTTAATGTGTTAGGTATGAAGCTTGTCCGTGCCAGACTTGTTCCAAAAGACCTGAATCTTGTGCAAAAACAATCTCCAGTAAAGTTCGCAAAAGGGTTATGGTTAGGGTTAGGTTAATATGTCGATTCAAAAAGGGATCTCACTTGTACAAGTATAGCTTAAAACGTCGGTTCGTTGTGGTACCTGAAACTGCTTCAAAAAATACATCATACGACTACTACAAATTGGCAAAACGATATCACAAAAGAGGATAAAAGAAATGCTGAACAACGTAACTGACGACCCTAGATTCATCAAACGGCGTCGAAACTGTCCAAAAATCTAGTAAATGGCGCTCCACAAATGAGCTGAAACCGCAGAAAGAGGTTACTCAAAGCTGACTATACCGCCAAAATTCATTTATCAGCATAAATTTGTGCGAAGATATGTTCTATGTAGAGCATAACTTAGTTGAATGCCAAAATTAAATAAAATCAGCTCAGAACTCCCTCTATCATCAATACATCCGATATAGAGTTTTCCAGACAGTTGGTTAAAATCGGTCGACACTTTGGTCGAAGCTCCATACTCAAACTATACTGACTTCAGCTGCTCTGGTTGTGTTTTACTTATATAACAAAAATGTTAATCGAGTTTATATCATATTCATCGCAAATAAAGCTGTTCATTTGAGAAAAAAAAAACTTTTACGCAACACCTGAAAATATTTCCCTCTCCTCAATTTCTGAATATTACTTTATTATAACTATTATTATTATTTTTATACCCTGAACAGGGTATATTAATTTTGTCACGAAGTTTGTAACACCCAGATCAGTATGTTGAGCTGATTCGATTTAGCCATGTCCGTCTGTCCGTCTGTCTGTATATATACGAACTAGTCCCTCAGTTTTTAAGATATCGTTTTGAAATTTTGCAAATACCATTTTCTCTTCAAGAAGCTACTCATTTGTCGGAACTGCCGATATCGGACCACTATAACAAATAGCTGCCATATAAACTGAACGATCGGAATCAAGTTCTTGTATGGAAAACTTTCACATTTGACAATGTATCTTCACTAAAGTTGGCACAACTTATTTTCTATGGCAACAATATAATCTTCGAAAAAATTTTTCAGATCGGTTAACTATAACATATAGCTGCCATACAAACTGAGTGATCGGAATCAAATGCTTGCATGAGAAACTTCCTCATTTGACGATATATCTTCATGAAATTTGGTAAGAGTTATTTTTCGTAAAAATAATGTAATATCGGAAGAAATTATTCAGATCGGTTAACTATAACAAATAGCTGCCATATAAACTGAACAATCGGAATCAAGYTCATGTATGGAAAACTTYMACATTTGACGTGGTATCTTCACGAAATTTGACTTGGATTACTGCTTAAGGTAATAATATAATCTCCAAAAAACATGTTCAGATCGGATTACTATAGCATATAGCTTCCATACAAACTGAACACATAATTACTAACAGAAATGCACCTGTGAAGGGTATTTAGCTGCGGTGCGACTGAAGTTAACGTTTTTTCTTGTTTTTTTTTTTTTTTTGTTTTTGAAAATTCCAAACAGGTGGCAGCTTTTTGTTTGTTATTATTCGAGAAAAATCCAAAAAAATATTATTTCGCTTAAGCTATCATGAAGATAACTTTATTACAATTTGCAACAACAAAAATACACACTACAAAAGCCTCACAACACTTGCGCACATCTTCGCCGCCTCTCTTTTCAGCGAAAACGCTAAAATATCCAAAAGTATACAAACCATTAAAATGTTATTGAATCAACCGTCACAGGCGATTCATCCATCAAATGCAGGCGAACGCGTTGCCCAAGTGTGTGTGTGTGTATGTATGTTGGTCAAGTGTAACTGTGCGAACAGCTGTCCATCCACCTGGCATTGAACAGCTACGCGGCGCTCTTCTTCTTCTTTTCGCCACCGTTCGGTGTTTATATTGCGAAATTGATTGTTTATGCATGCAACACCTGTTGTGGGCTAACATTGCGGTTTAATTTTACTGGTGTTGATTGAACACATCTTCCTTTTTGTCGCTCGTTTTAGAATCAACGCTAAGAAGCTTTTTTTTATTAGAAGAGGCGCACGTTGAAATGCTGCACATTCGAGAGAGGACTGGGACTTATGCAAATTTGTTCGATAGTTTAGGTCACCAGTGGTTACGTCTTTAAAGCTGACTTAATTGCAGTAATTATTAAAAAATGTGCGCTGCGGAAATGCCGATTTAATTACATACCTTTGTGGTAGTATGTAAAAGGGTAGATTTAATTTTTTTTTTTTTGAACTTTTCTGTTGAACTTTTGTAAAGAATTTAAGAACTTCAAGATAGGTGTAGGTACTTGCAAAATACATCACTCATAGAAACTATCGTTGCTGTAGACAAAAAACGGAATCAGTCGAGTTTCACACCCTTCTTTTGTGATGCATTTTTCACCATCAAAATCATTCGCCACAGACAAGAACAGGTAGTAATCACATGGTGTGAATTTCTGGAAACATAAGAAGCATATTCCAATTAAGCTCCGAGAGCTTGTGGCAATTCCTTATCGATGTGTTTGGCTCGATGGAACACGATTCCTTTTATTGAACAAAGCTGACCGCTTCTGTGCGATTCCTTGCTTAAGACAGCCCAATATTTGATAGTACAACTCCGAATTAGGAGTTGGACCACAGAATACAAGCTCAAGATAGATGATTCCCTGCCACTCCCACCGAACATACATATATATGAAAACTTTCCTGACCGTCAATATTGGCTTGGCTACTGTTTGCGTCTGCTCACCGATTCGATTCACGTTCGATTTCGCTTGAATTTGTCTTAAGTGACCCACTATTTAACGCCAGTAATCAACCGCTACAGAAATAAATAAATTTTGTTGAGATTCAGCAATGACTTTCAGTCGGAAACTCGGTGCATGAGGTATTTTTGGCGTTATCTCGAATGGCACTCATACATCGAGAATTTAATTGTATCCAGCTTTACTTAAATGGTTCCAAATAGCTTTTGTAAAATCATTAGTTTCTAGGGAACCGAAATAGACGAGCTCGTTGTTTACGATAGCAGGTCATCCATAAAGCAGGTCATCTTTGACATCAAAATCGCTGGGAAAGAACCGAGGAAACAAAAATTTCGATTGGCTCTGACAGTATTAAGACCGTAAACACTACTACGATTTCAGTCGCTTTTCTTTGTTGGTGCAAAGTAAGGCTAGTTAGGTTAAGAGGTCGATTTTAACAGGGATATGGCTTATATAGCTTAGCATTCCGGTCCTTTGTTGGATCTACAACGCCTGTATAATAGATCATAAGATACCTACAAACCGAAAAAGCGCTTTGAGCCTATCACTAACTTGTTGAGGCGCTAAAGATAGTTTCAGCTATGTAATTTGGTGAGCCGAAAGTAATGCTAAGTCACGTATACACAAAAATTTCTGTGAAGGTTTTATTAAAACAATAGGCTGTATAGCCTATCTCATTTCCTCCTGTTCCTGTTTTTGCGAACATATTCACATTCATCGATTTCCTTTTCTAAGGTTCTCGAGAGCTAGTAGTCAACTTCTGTACCATGTATGATCTGATCATGCTTTTCAGTTTGAATTTTTTATAGACTGTCGTTGCTGATGATGTTACAACTTAAGATCTAAAGCTTACTAGTAAGGTGGTCCGTTACAATTCGTCAAGTAGTACAAAGAAAACAGTGGACTTGAATAGTCTGATTGTTACGGTTACGTTCTCATCGGCCTCCTTTTTTAAGAAATATAGACTGGCCCACAGACCATACCAAACAATTTCTTTTTTTGGATGAAATGGCAGTTTTTGAATCTCTTCAGATTGCTCCACGTCACAAATGTGGCAATAATGTTTGTTTACATACTCTTGAGCCAGCAACGGGCCTCTTAGATGAACAAAATTTTACTAGAATCTTCTTGAAACCTTTCATAAGCCCGTAGAGCGAGGCGTTGTCGCTTGGGAACATCAAGTGGCTTCAGTTGTTGCACAAGTTGTACTTTTTACGCTTTAAGATATCGACGTAAAATGCGCCAAGTAGCCATACGTCCCTCCCAATATATGAAAAATCTTCCAGTAAACTAAGGCGATCATTCCCTCAAGCACTAAAGGGTTCACTGACAGCAACTTCTTAAGAACGTTCTTCTCCATAAGCTTCAAAACTCGCTAACAAATATATGTACACTACATAGTAAGTGCACTTATATAACTCCCTTCCAAGCACAGTTTGCCAACCGAAAAGTTCACAATACGTACAATTTTATTTAGGTCAACTGTTCTTCAATAGTCATTTACCGTTTAAGCACTTTTCACTTGCAACCGAAATTATGCAATTCACTTCATAGCCGGCAATCAGCAGGAAAAATAGTACGAAAAGTAGACCGAAACTTTACGGAAATCTCACCTCAAGCCACTTGAGCAACTGTGGTGGCAGCAGCACAGCCTATCAGGCGCATCAACGCTCTCGATCTGATGCAGCCAGCGTCTGGTCAACAGACAATTGATGACGGCGCATAAACTTAGCGGTCCAGTAGTTAAGTTGGCTTATGTAACGGCGCGATGATGCGGACAAGCATTGTTTGAAGAGGGTTTGCGGGAATAATTGAGGGCAGAAGATAGCCGGACAGCATCGTCACTTGAGTAATCGCTGCAACTGAATTTCAAGTGAAGCAGTGCTCAGCAACCATTCAGTGCTTGATTGGTTTTCTATAACTCGTAAATTTAGTACAACTATTTTTGTTATAGCAAGTTGCCTTTGAACTTTAATTGCGCGCCTTGCTGCAGGTTTCCAATTAAACTTTTGTAATTAGAAAGAATGAGTGAGGAACATTTCACGAGAATTAATTTTTGCATTGCGTTATCAATACATTTAAAGCAATATTATTTAAAAACTATCAATTCCAACTAATTGTGATTTACTATTTATTTCACTTTAAAAGGGGGCGCGTATGCAGCTGTTTAGCATAGTTACCTGAACCGACAACCCCGCAACGAGATTTAGACGATAGCAGCGGCAACATATTAACGGCTGTGATACGCGGCAGTTGGCTCAGTTGGAGTTGAAGTGCGCGCAAAATGACAACCCGCCAACACAGTTTCCGATGGCGCCTGCTTATAACGGCTGCGATTTTACTGCTGCCAACGGCTTATGGTAACTTCACATACTCAAGCGCCTGCGAACCTTGAAAACTAAAGAACTTTTCTACTTGCAGGCTTTCCTTTCATCTTCAACAGTAACCGTAAGGTGATTAACTGGACTGTGCCGGAAGATGATTGGGAAATCCATGCAGCGCCGCGCAGCATTACGCCGCACGTCGAACTGAAGAAGTTTCCGAACCGCACAAACGCCGAACCGGCGCAGAGCGATGAAGAGTTTTTGACGCGTTTGCGTCAACTCAAACGCAACGACACAATGGCGCGCATGCTGTGGTATGACACAACACCGGATGGGCTCAGCTACCCACCGTTCGTGGACAAGGCGCTGAAGCTGTTCAATCTCAAGCAGGTGGCATTCGAAATCGAGAACAGCGTAATGTCCAAAGTCTCATGTACCGCCTGCAAGGCCGGCGCTGGACTGCTGCAGCATTACATACGCGCGGGCAAAACCGAGGCGCAGATCATCAAGCTGATTTACGAATTTTGCGTTAACCTTAACATACAAAGTCCACGCGTGTGTGAGGGCGTCTCGACACTCTTCGGCAGTGAAGTGATTTATGTGCTGCAGCGCGTCAATCTCGGTCCAGATGAGATTTGCAGCTTTGTGATCGGCGATGCTTGTGGTGATGTCTACAATCCGTACCATGAGTGGGAAGTGATATTTCCGCCAGTGCCCAAACCGCCGGTTGCCGAAGTCGGTATGCCCAAAGAGGCGGCGCCATTCTTTAAAGTGCTACACATCTCAGATACACACTACGATCCGCACTATGTGGAAGGCTCCAATGCTAACTGCAATGAGCCGCTATGTTGCCGGCTGAGCAGCGGACGTCCGTCGAATCCGAATGATGCGGCCGGTAAGTGGGGTGACTACCGCAAGTGCGATACGCCCAAACGTACGGTGGATAATATGTTGGAGCATATCGCCGATACGCACAAAGATATTGACTATATACTATGGACCGGCGATCTGCCGCCACATGACGTTTGGAACCAAACGAAGGAAGAGAACTTGGAAATTATCAAGGAGACTGTACGCCAGATGACGGAAAAGTTTCCTGGCATACCGATCTTCCCCGCTTTGGGCAATCACGAAAGCGCACCGGTGAACAGCTTTCCGCCGCCGTATGTGAACCAAGTGGACATCTCTATAGCATGGTTATATGATGAATTAGATGTACAGTGGCGTCGTTGGCTGCCACAGAGTGTCTCGCATACAGTGCGACGTGGCGCTTTCTATTCGGTACTCGTGCGGCCGGGCTTCCGTATTATTTCACTCAATATGAATTATTGCAATAATAAGAATTGGTGAGTCAAAGTTATAAGTTAAAAGCGTATCGGTTTGTTGTACTAAATTAGTTTATCCTCTAGGTGGTTACTGCTAAATTCCACAGATCCGGCGACTGAGCTGCAATGGTTCATATATGAGCTGCAAAGCGCGGAGTTCTCCAACGAGAAAGTACATGTGATCGGTCACATACCGCCAGGCCATCCGGATTGCTTGAAGGTTTGGTCACGCAACTTCTATCGCATCATTTCGCGTTACGAGAGCACAATTACCGCGCAGTTTTATGGACACACGCACTTTGATGAGTTCGAAATGTTCTATGATCCACATGATCTTAGTGAGTAGTCTTGAAATAAATAAAATGCTAACGAAGTTATCAATAAATGGTTTTATACTTTCAGGTCATCCCACAAGTATAGCATATATTGGTCCGTCGGTATCACCGTATTATGATCTAAATCCCGGCTATCGTGTGTACTATGTTGATGGTGATCACGACACTACCACACGTTTGGTCGTGGATCATGAGTCTTGGATCATGAATTTGAAGGAGGCAAACCTTTACGACTACCCGATATGGTATAAGTTGTATACGACACGTGCCGCGTATAATATGAAAGCACTCAGGCCTCTGGACTGGAGCAACCTCATCGATGAGATGGCGAATAATCAAGAATTATTTGATTTATATTACAAGTAAGTGAGATGGTCATAAAAATAAAGTAAGAATAAGGCAATCGATTTTGATGATCTCAGAGTTGTGTAATTAGGCTCCATTCCAAAGAACAAGATAACACAGTTTCGATTTCGTCCATTCTTTTTCGGTAAATTTTATGTAAAAGCTGGACCTCGCAATGGATAGCCAAGTTGTGTACATATCAAAAAATTAATGAAATTCGTCGAGTAAGAACCGTCATGTAAGCAGTTCTTTAATTGCCCAGGAGCTAAGAATTGCACAGAAGCCGTTTAGAACCATTTACATAACGTGAGCCGGCGAATATTATGGTTGAACAAGACCGGATAAGCTGTATGGAAAATTTTGTTATGCATTTGGTGGGTTTGGCAGAGAATCATCTATCATAAGCTAACTTCTAACGGTTAAACCCTAACTTGAACCGGTACTGGCATCAGTCGGACCGTCTGAAGGAAGCAACCTTCCAGAAGCCGCGGGCTTTAGCCAACGGGAGAAGGCTTGTGCTTCATCTACAATGTCAGGCCACACGCACATCGATAGTAACTCGCCAAATTCTCCGGGAGCTTGGTTTGGAGGTTCTTATGCATCCTCTTGATAGAAAAAATCTGGCACCAAGTGATTATTACCTGTTCTTGTTTAGAGCGAATGGTTTTGTTAAAGGAAAATTCACCTGAAGAGAAGTTTCAACAGCCCCAGTCTTTTGCCACATCGATAGTGGCTCGCCAGATGTTCCGGCGAGCTTGGTTGGGTGGTCCTTATGCATCCAACTTATGGTCCGGGTCTGGCTTTAGGCCGTTACTAACAATTTCTATTTGTGGAGGTTGATTTTTCTGGTGAAAAATATACCTCATGAGAAGAAAATCGAGTTTTCCGATTTTTTTACCTTGAGCAAGACTAAGGTCTAAATCGGATCAATCTAAGTTTGCTAAAAGAATTATTTTTACTAGACCTTAAATGAATATTAATCGGGACTTTACAACTGCTGACCGTCGCATAAGTTCACGAACGTGTATAAATCGGTTATTCATGCAATGAGTAACTAATCATTTACCGGAAAGCATCTCTTAAAACTAACTTCTAGATTTGCTATAAATGCTCATTATTTCCCCCCTTTGCAGAAACTACTGGAAGAACTCACCCATACGGCCGGTCTGTGACGCCGAATGCCGGAAACGTATGCTGTGCGATTGCAAGAGTGGACGGTCGCACGACCGACGGCATTTCTGTGAAGACGTCGAGGCGAAAGTGGACGACGGTTCGTCGAAATCCTGGAAGTCATGGCTGTACCGTGGCTTGACGAACTCGTACGTAAAACTGTTTGCGTGAATGCATTACCGTTATGTACTTAAACATTAAAAAAAAAAAATTGTTGTCTGGTGAAATTGTTATTGGTATATTGTCTTGGAATCGGCACATAAATGTTGGTATATTGGAAAAACTGTGGCATCATTAGTGTTTTAAGGTATTATAGTAGCATCAGTGGATCTTGTGTTCTTACTAACTCTTTGCACATAAGTATTTATACCGTTTTATTTACATTTATAGCCTTATATTATATATATGCTGCTTTATTACCTTATATATTACAATACTATTACCTTATATATAACCCAAAATATCCGTATTACCCTGTATATTACCCTATTATTACCTTATTTACCCTTTTATTATATGTCTATTCATCACAAAAAAAGTTTGCTTTAAAATTTTCGAATTTGTTCCCTGTGTCCATTGTCCCCTCCTTCTGCCACTAACCAATGCTTGTCAGCTGCTTTCCATTGTACATTATCTGTTATCTCTTATCTTTGCTTATCTTGTAGTGTTTCCGCAGTTACCAACACATATGAAGCTGTTTCAAACATTTTAAGTGACTAAGTACTAGTAAATAAATTATAAAATGAATTTAAATTAAATCAATTTAGTTTAATTAGCGCTAATTTCTTACACATTGTATGCACCTTAACTATTCGCTCGACAGCTTCGGTTGCGGTGACGTAGATCGAGTCCATTTAAGGGGTTATATCCACTTGAAGTCATAATTTTTTTTTTGTGAATTTTTCTTAAATAAATAACTAAAAACTAATGTACATTTAAAGCATTTTATGTACTTTAATAACTCACGATTAAATCTGAAAAATGTTTGCTTACCTTGAACATGTAGCCGAACTCCAACGGATTGTCGAAAAAGGGAGTATGCGGGAAAAGATTTTTCTGCTTAAAATTAACTCAAAACCAAAAAATAAAAATAAAAAATTTTTACGATAAATGAATAGAGGTAATGATCTAGGAACTAGTCAATATTTTTGGTAAATTGTCCGACGCCCAAAAATGCCTCAGTTTGTTTGTTTTTTTTTTTTTTTTTTGTGAAAAATTTGAACCCCCGAGTGCTTAGGCCGTGAAGCCTATGTAAATCCTTAAAAAATCGAAATTAATAAATTAATCAAAATTTTATTTCTTCGATCATTACCTGATTACTATAGCTAAGAAGGTCATATGAAAATTCAAGTCGATTGGTCCAACTTAAGAATTTAGGGAGTGAAACCCACCTAACCCCTTAAAAATTCAAAATAATATCCAAAATAAATCCACAAGATCCACTTATGCTACTTCTTTCAAACATTAGCCAATAAATTTATTTAAGAAGATCTTGTGATAATTTAAGTCGATTGGTCCAACTTAAGAACTTAGGCCCATGTAACCCCTTAAAAAATCAAAATTAATATTCAAAATTTTAATATTGCGATCTTTACCTGCCAGAAAGCTTTCTCACCGACTTTTAAAACAGCTTTTCGAGAAAAACTTGTTTAAAGGCTAAAATGTTTTTACAAATTCGTTCATATCTCTCAAACTATTTGCCGGTTCAGCGCCAATATATTCAGAATAGCTATATAAGCAATAAGAAAATCGCATTTTTGTACATTCATCAGAGGATATAACTCCTCAAAGAGTGGTGGATATAACTCCTTAAAGAGTAGTGCCGACATTTTAACCCAAAACTAACACATTTTACTTATTAATTATGCTTCAATAAACGCACTTATGCAACAAAACGGTGCTTGGAACAACAACAAAAACACATACACACTGCAAAACAAAATACTTGGCTAAACACAAAACACGTTGCGGCTAACGGCACAAATTACAACTCGCCAGCGAGGAGAACAAAGCCGAGACCACAACCGAAAAGTGGCGAGTGCCCGATGTGCTTTACATATTTAGACGCTGACCGGGTGCAGGTGGATGAAAAAAACGACTTGCTTTTTAGTTTAAAATTTTATATAATATAATTTTAATTTTTAATAATTTTACAATTGGATATAATTTTGTAAATGGATTTGGATTTTGGATATGATTTATGGTGGCTGGTGGCGCGTTATGCCGCGGTTAATGGGCGCTTGAAAATCAAAAGTTCGTGCACACAACACACCAAACTGTGAATATAAAATGTATATATAAATTATAAACACTTTTAATTATTACAAATATAAATAAAACAAATAAAAATGGGTTCCAACAAAAGCGCTTTACACATTTCTTCTGCAATCCTCCTCAAATCTATAGTTATAGTCTGATCTCGTCCATTACGTACCTGCCCAAGTATCTAATGGGCTTCGGCTGAAGCGGAGTTGGCGCCAGCGACAGCTGATATAAGCCTCTTAAAATCCTCAAAGAAAAAGGCCAAAACGAATATACAACACGGAGTCTTGAAATCGAGAGAGAGAGAGAGAGAGGGACCAGAGCTGTACATACTGTAGCAAATTGAGAGAATTTCTCCTGTAAAAGTGCAAACAAAACAAACTCATATGCAAATTTTTATTATAAAATATTTTAATTATAAAAACTGTTTAGCTTATAGTTGTAAAATAGTGTGTGTGTGTGTATTAGGGTGGGTCAAAAAAATTTGAATTTGGTGATTCATTTTAAGACATTTTGTATTCCACGATTTTGGTTGCCGATCTTGACGAGGAGTGGTGTCTATCGTTGCGCACACTTTCCAGCTTAAAATTAACTCAGAACCTTAGATACCGCGACATATATACACATATGTATATAAAAACAGTTAAAAAATTTTTTTTTTTAATATTTTTCTCCTGATTTCAAACAATATTTTCTAAAAAAAATATCATTTAAAAAAATTAAAAACATTTTTTCTCGTAATTTCAAACGATATCTTCTAAAGAAAAAATTTTTTTTTTTAATATAAAAAATTCTGACCCACCCTCATGTATGTGCATTAGTTATGTGATTATTAGCTTTAAGTATAATTTTATTTAAGTAGTACATTAAAGCAGCAATATTAACAAAATGAAAAGTCAAGTATTTATAAGAACACGCACACACACATATACACAAAAATTAAAAAAAAAAAATATTAAAGCTGTCTCGAATACTCGGAAATTGTTTACTTCAAAAAACGTCCACTTTCTTAGTTGTAAAATTTAAGTTAAACATAATTTTTAACCTAAAAAGTCAAATATAACCGTAAACGCACACACACAGTCATAAAGTAAGCATAGCCCGCACACCTGCAAATACACTCATACCGTTAGTTTCAATGCATATGCAATAACAATGTGCATATACTCGTTTTATGTTATATTAATGTAGCTTTAATAACAAAATAAATAAAAAAATATATTTTTAATCAAATATTTGCATTTCAATTAGTCATTAAAGCTTGGTGAATTTTCGTTCCGTACTGTATACGAAAAAAGTTCCGTGCTTTAGCTAAGACATACACAGCATGCGCTGACAGTTTTGTAGCCAATGTGTTTGCTGTTTAGATATTAGGGGTGTTCACAAGAGAAACGTATTTTTTTTGTGCTAATTAATTTTTTTAATATAATTATATATGATAACATTTAATTATATATTAAAATCAGTTATTAACTTTCCAACATTTAATCATTATTAAGGGAGTAAATTTATTGTGTAGCATACTGAGAGAAAAGGTCAACCGAACGATCCAAAATTATTATTGTGTGTACCGATTTATTTCGTATTCAGCCCAATATTTTTAAGAAAATTAAAATTTCAATAATGTCACAAATGTCACAAATTTTCATCAAGATCAACAATTTAAAGTCAACTCTAATGTCGGATGTCATTTAAACGGCCATACAGGGCTAGAAGATATGCTCAGAAACACTTACTTTTCAGTCCAAGTCCAAGTGTTTGCACCATAGCAGTAGGACGGGATTGATGAGGGACTTGTAGAGTTTGGTCTTTGTTCGAAGAGAGAGAACTTTACCTTTCAGTTGTCTAATTAGTCCGAAGTAACAACTGTTGGCAAGACTTATTCTGCGTTTCATTTTCGTGGCTCATGCTGTTGTGGGTATTTAAGCTGGTTGTTTAATAATTGGAGTTATTTTGTCTTGTCCTTGTTCACAACCCTTTGCTTCCTGTTAAAGTCTGGAAAAAACAGAACTAATTGCGAGGTGGTTGAAATCGGTGATATCAATATTAATGGCTAGGCGATCAGCTGTATATTAGTTTTTAAAGTATTAGATTGAAGAAGTCACACGATGGGTAGTGTCCTTGTGTGAAATCTTCTTTCATGTCGAAAGAGTCGAAGCGGTCCTTCCTGATCCTGACAGAGCTTTTGATATTGATCAATGTCAGTTTACACAGCCATATAGGAGGTACAAAGATATCAAATTCGGACAAACCGCATAGAGGCTGCTTTATTTGTACCGTCGAATTTTCGATATTAAGGAGTTTTATCCCGCGGTTATTGACGTGATTGTGGGGACAACGCTTCAGTGGATTGGACAGAGTCCACTTAGATTCCAATCATGGGCATGCTTTAATTACAGAATGTGTGAATTTAGCTGATACATGCACCTTGTGAGTTTTATGCAGCGGTATTAAAATAGCTCTGCCGACAATCCATCGCCATATCGACATCTTCGATATCTGGGGTAAAAATATTGAATAACTGGGAGTAACCTCGCTTCTTGATGAGTTTTACTGTAGATATCTTCTAGACCAATAAAGCTAAAAAACCAAATTCACTTAGGACAATTCTTAGAGGTCCTCAATAATATAAGAATGGATGAAACCGGAAGATAACATCTCCCATATCATTATCTAAATACGCCAGATACACTGAATTTTATGAGAAGGCTTAAAAGGAGTCGGTGAAAAATTGAACGATGGGTCTGGCGCTATATATTTATATCTTCAGACTCGCCCGGCCGTTTTCAACCAAATTTTGTAACATTCATCTGGAGGCGAAATCGAACAGCAGCCACGCCTAGTTCTCTTATAACACAATTTTGAACACCATCTGATTCTTTCCTTTCAAGTGTACAAAGCACGAAAATTGTCTTCAGATCTTATCTTATGACTACAAATTTTTCAAATCCAACAAAAACTGTTCAAGCCCATAGGTACTGAATATTTAGAATAGCTATACTTGACCTTTTAATGAAAATATCGGTAAATGTGTTAGATATATACATACATAATTCAGAGAGAATTCTTTCCTGTTATTAGTATGTTTGTGGGTAAGAGACATATTGAATCGGGTCGATATTTCCCTCAGTCGCCATATACCTAATATGAAGATTTTAGAAATTCCGGGTGATTTAGTACCGCATATATCGGCCATAATGTCAAGTATCTTAATAAAATTGAGAGAGTTTAGATTGAAACAAGTAAGGAAGGGCTAAGTTCGGGTGTCACCGAACATTTTATACTCTCGCATGATAAAGTGATAATCGAGATTTCAGGCGTGGTTGTGAACCGATTTCGCCCGTATTGTCATTAGGGTGTTAAGGAAATATTACATACCGAAATTCATTGAAATCGGTCGAGTACTGCCTGAGATATGGTTTTTGGTTCATAAGTGGGCGACGCCACGCCCATTTTCAATTTTTAAAAAATCCCTGGATGCAGCTTACTTCTGACATTTCTTCCGTAAAATTTAGTGTTTCTGCCGTTTTTTGTTAGTCGGTTAATGCACTTTTAGTGATTTTCAATATAACCTTTGTATGGGAGGTGGGCGTGGTTATTATCCGATTTCTTCCATTTTTTAACTGTATATGGAAATGCCTAAAAGAAACGACTCTATACAGTTTGGTTGATATAGCTACAGTAGTTTTCGAGATATGTACAAAAAAGTTAGTAGGGGGCGGGGCCACGCCCACTTTTCCAAAAAAATTACGTCCAAATATGTCCCTCCCTAATGCGATCCTTTGTGCCGAATTTCATTTTAATATCTTTATTTATGGCTTAGTTATGACACTTTATAGGTTTTCGGTTTCCGCCATTTTGTGGGCGTGGCAGTGGGCCAATTTTGCCCATCTTCGAACTTAACCTTCTTATGGAGAGAAGAAATACGTGTAACAAGTTTCATCATAATATCTCAATTTTTACTCAAGTTACAGCTTGCTCGGACGGACGGACAGACAGACATCCGGATTTCAACTCTACTCGTCACCCTGATCATATATATATAACCTTATATCTAACTCTTTTAGTTTTAGGACTTACAAACAACCGTTATGTGAACAAAACTATAATACTCTCTTTAGCAACTTTGTTGTGAGAGTATAAAAAGAGTGAAGGAAAATTTTCCTAGGTCTCTGATCGTACTTATCGAAACAAAACTCTTCTAACAAATATGTGCACTCGATGTATCTTCAGTATAAATCAGTTGCCAGTCTGGCATAGTCTTCCACTTCTAGGGAATAAAATTTAGAGCTCTCGCTCTGCCCGCCGAGCTTTCACTGTACTTAATATACCCACTCGTATTTGCATATATCTATGTTCTTCACGGCAGCAAAGCTTCAGCGCAATGGAATTCTTTGTTAGCCAAAAACTGAATGAGTTGCTCGTTGCCGCGATCGCAATAATCGCTTACTACCGATAAACCCACTGAGTGCATTAATGTGTCGTAATTAATGCCAATACTCAATAACATAGATCAAATTTAGATATGAGCAATAGACAATTGAGACCATAGTTGTGGCGTATTGGCGAATCGTCAAACGGTCTACTTGCCATTTAAAGAGGAAATGCTGTCTAAGGTACCAAAAGGTAATCAGATCGAATCAGGTAAATTTGAGAA